TAAACCGCAAGCAATCGTAGTCGCCGATGCTTGCAGCACTATATAATTGGAGGACTGTAACTACGTAGGGTGGTAACGTTGTCGAGCACTTTATATTCGGGTAATTCTTTATTCGTGAAATCCTTCAAATATTACAAGCAGCGAAATAATCGAGACGATACAGAAGATGAGAATAAATCACTAAGCAAACTGCTCGCTAACTTCAACTCCCACCGTACTAAAGTTCTAATATTACAGATTAAATAGGAACACGGGTCAAACCGACCTCAAATGCCACTTCCAGCAATAAGATAAAGAATTATCGCAAGCAAAACCAATAACCTTAAACAAATAAAATTCAACCGAAGAAATGCAAAACAATGATAACTATTTAACAAAGTAAGTAAAATAATAAGAAAAGAACGAAGAAAATAAGTTTGAGAATTATAGAAAGGAGGCAGCAAAGCTTCAAAAGAGATCACTAACTTTCACCTTTTCTTTCGCGAGATTGAACTTCTTAATAACACCTCGCTCTTTTATACTGTCTGTCTGGCAATGATCTTCCAGTATGACCTCTAAAAGCTTCCCCTTAAAATCATGTCTGGTCCGTTATCGTCTTCTATCCTTCGGGCCATTTCGCGTGCCATCGCGACACTTATTCTCCGCTCGCATTTTTTCCTGTGGGGTGGGTGTGGTTCTGACAGCAGAAATGAAGACGAGTCGAATGAAGAAGTACAGGTATTTTAGGCGCAAAAGAAAGAAGTTTTGCAAGAAACTCCATATTTCTCAAGAAATGTAAAATAAGTTTAAAAGACGCTTTTTTTAATACGCGGGACACCGGAGGTGCCACATACGAAGAAACGGTATCTGAAACTAATCGTGAGACTAGTAGTGTACCTAGCTCTTATCCCTCATTTCGTGATATTTTCATACAACCTTTCAAGAGACATCGTGAATTCCGACAAGCAAGTGAAGATTAACGGAACGTTTTTTACCAGAAGAAAGTGCTGTAAGACTAGAGTCATAAAGTAGCTTTTGCGAGTATTGGGCGAAGGAACAACAAATGTTTCGTCGTTCAAGAGAAGCCGAGAAACTGTCCCCTTACCGATCAAGCAATATTCTGCCTGAAGCAACTATAGCATCTGGCCAGTAAGTAACATACAGTACCGCCAGAGATGTGCCAGAGGAGTGTCAGCAACAGACTACAAACCAAATCTGCCGCTCCCCCCAAAGCTTCCTTTTGGAGAGCATACAGTTGAAAAACTAATCCCTAGAAGCAAGTCTGGTGTTCCTCAAGAATGGGCCATCAGAGTATTGCCTATGGCCTTCGCGCATGGTTTCGACAGATATAAACTGCCAAGCTGCTCCTTGTACTCCTAACCATGCACCATTAAGCCATGTCCCAAGTAAAATAGAGCTCTTTCTTGCTGTTACATAAATTCCGTTTTCCCTGTATCAACAAATCATCTTCAGGACTTTATTGTTGGTGCTCTGACCTCCTGAAATTTGGGTATCTGATCAGTTTTTTAGTAACGATATAACGTCATCTACCTTAAATTCGAATATCTAAACAATTTAAAGATGTGGAGCGCATCAATGGTTCCAAATACTTTTTATAACAGCATCATTCTTCGCAATAACCTCTCCCTCTGTAATTTCACTAGTGATTTAACTTGTTGATAATGTCTCGCTGTTATTTTTAAGTGTGTATATAAGAAGTCAAAGCTTTCACCACCACGTAGTGACTAGTAAATCCTTAGTCAAGGTCAACACGATCAACACGTATCGTCAACTGCCAGCAAGCTGCAGTGGTAGTGATGTGGTTGCCGTCGCAATTTTTTTGGAAAAAATAACATGCTGACGCGGATCTACGCTCAATAAAAGTCTTGAAATTTTCTCTCTCATTGAATGACGTATATGTGTATAATGTCCAAATATATATGCCCAGCTGCTCGCAACATAAATGTAGTAAATGCACTTCTAAACGCAGCAGCAACTGCTCCATTGAAAACATCTAAATAAAGAGTTAATTTTGTTCGAGTAGTAATTCTAAAAAAAATATTGTTTTTTTGCTCGAATCATTATGTATAATGACGCGGCTTTGTTGAGGCAAAGTATGGCTAAACTTGGGGAAGAATCGCTACTATTGACCTCTCCCATTCCTTGCTTTCTTCCACCTTTGCTGTTACCCTCTCCACTGCTCCCTTCCCTAAATACCCCACCAAAAAAGCAGCTACACAGTCAGTGGACTAGGATGGCCAATGTGAAAGGTTTGCCGAACAACAAAGAGGCTAAATTTTCAAGCATGTCACGGTTACACGCAACCGAAAAGTACAAGGCTTTTTTTGTTGCATTTTAAAATACTGAAACGAAATAAACAGGGTAAAAAAGAAACTTTAAAACGCAGTGCAATATGTTAATAAATGTTTTCGCTTGACTCTGCTTTTTAACTATTCTATTCTCATTTCTATAGTTTATGAATAAAAATCAATATATTACTGTTGTTCCAAAGCTAAAAATAGTAAATTTACCAAAAGTCCGAATTGGAATAGAAGCGATTGCAGAATCTCATAAGGCTGTTTGGATCTTGGTGTAGAGACTATAACGCAGTCCTTCACCGGATTTAGACTGCGTTAAAAAAGAACACCGGTTTTGTGCCACCACTTTTAAGAAAAACTTGGCTAGAACCGTCGAGGTTTCAAAAGAGCACTTAAACTAGAACGATTTATATGTATAGGCCATTCCACGCGAAATCGGACACCTTTGAGTATCGACCTTTCAGAATTTTTTTCATTTTTTGCTGATTAGTAGAGTCTAGGTTACCATACAAAAAGCCGCAAAGGAAACCTGGAAAAGTGAATTTTCCGCCAAGTTATACCTCCCCCCAATGTTGCAAAATTTGCCAGGTTGCCGCTTGACGTGCCTATGTTTGGAGGCTCATGATTTGACCTGTTTTCAATGGAATCCTTCAGATTTCTGATCCGGCGTATTCCTCATGTCCTTGTTATGCTTGCCTTAACACATCCATTCGGTATAGATCATCATACTTGCCTTAGTGCAAATGTGAGTTCTAACCTCCGGTCAGTATATTTTGATCTATGTCTGTTAGGAGTCACTATATAGGAGCTCCCCTATTGCTTTAAAGTTTTGAGTTCTGTTCTGTTGTTGTTCTACGTCTATCGTCTGTCTTCTCTTTTAATTAAACCCCTTGGCTACCACCCCTACGTGATACATGACAACTGGCGATCAGAATGATGGCCAATTCTCAGACCAAATCGAAGCCACGTTTTGTCGCTCAGGCTCCTGATTCTTTTGACCCAGCAATAAATGATGTGGAATCTTGGCTAGCCAGGTTCAATGTTTTTATTACGATTTCTTAGGTGGAGGATCAGTTTAAGAGGTTTTGTTTACTTGATGTTTTGTCTTCAAACGCGTATCGTGCGTCAGCGGCGTTTGTGAAGCCCATGGATGTGACAACTTTGACGTATCAGGCTTTGCGCGCTGAGTTGCTTGAAATGTACGCAGCAAAGAAGTTACTGTTTTCAGAACGTTACCGTTTTTTATCTAAAACAAAAGTCTTGGAGTTATGTAGAATTTGCCACTTTCATCAAGAAAAAAGCCGCTTTTTGTGGGCTAAGCTATTTTTACGTTCCGGCTCTCGCTCTATTGTCCACAGTGGGCATTAACGACGTCTCTTTGCGTGACAAATTTTTGGAGATTGAGAATTGTACTCTGAAACAAGCTTTGTCGATAGCACAAAAGAAGGAGAACTATGCAACGAAGTCCGTACGTATAAAGAACGAGAATGCGCCTCAGGTTACTTCTATTCCTACTACTGCTGCAATGCTCTCTCAATCACCATTTCAAAACCTCAATTGTCTTAGCTGTGGAGGCCGACATAAGCGACAGACTTGTAAATTTCGCGACGCAAAATGTTTGAAATGTCACAAAACAGGCCATCTTGCTCGGGTATGTAAATCAGCTATTCAGACTACTCCAAAAACGGGCAATAGTTGGCAAAGGGCTGCTAATGCACAGAATCCGTCTTTAGTATAGGGTAGAGCAACACGAAGAGCCACAGGTGCACTATCTCGTCACCACATAAATAAAATTCATTCAGCGTTGTCTGTACATAGTATTACAGAGGATCCTAAAACAGGCTGGTTCTTTGTCACTCTAGAAATCAATGGACATTTGGTAGAAATTTAGATGGACACCGAGTCTCCTTTCACTATTCTGAGTAAAAGTTGCTAGCAGCATGTAGGTTTCCCCAAACCACATCCAGTCACAATATGTGCTCAAAATTATTCAGGTAGCCCACTGTCATTCAGCGGTAAATTTCAAGCAGTAATTCAGTACCAAAATACTTCAAAATCCTCTATCATTTGAGTTTCAGAGTCGGCCCGTGATAGCGTCTTGGGACGTGAATTAACCTTCGCGCTTAAGTTGGAACATATTCCTTTGAATTTCTTTTGTAATGCCATTTAAAAAAATACAGTTCTTTCAAAAGTGTACTCTATATTTCTGCAGTTATTTGCTGAAAAGTTGAGATGCTAAAGTCAAATAAAAGCTCGGTTACAGCTAAAGCCTGAAGCTGTTCCTGTTT